CACAGCACGGCACAGCACAGCTGGGCACAGGCACGGGCCTGGCACGACCTCGGCAGCAGCTGCAGCGTTCCAGGAGGATCAGGGAGGAAAGCAGCGGGGCAGGAGGGAAGCGCCCGCCGAGCTGCTCACCGTCCAGTTGGCGCGGATGCGGTACATGTCCTGGTGCGCCGTCTCCTCCAGGATCCACACCGCCTGGGCGGCGCCCACCCAGGCGCTGGTGTTGAAGCAGCTGGTGGACATGGACAGGAAGCTGTCGGCGAAGCAGGGCTTGACGCGGCCGTTGAGCTGCGGCCGTTGAGCGGGGTGGGGGTGGGGAGGCGGCAGCGCGCGAGTGAGGCCGGGGACAAGGGAGGGGCAGAGGGGGCGGGGGGAGGGGCAGAGAGGGGGCGGCGTGTGGTGTGCGCCACGAGACGTGCTGCCGTGGTCGGCCTGCCGTGGCGGCAGCGCAGCGGCGGCGGCGGCGGGCAGCTCCAAGCAAGTGCTGCCGCCGGCCAGGGGTGCTGGCTATGCACAGCGCAGCAAATCATAGCACAGCAAATCACAGCACAGCACAGCGCAGCGTAGCGCAGCATAGCGCAGGCACAGCCACAGCACAGCACAGCGCAGCGCGGCACAGCGCGGCACGTGCCTGCAATGTGATGGAGTCTAGCATGTCTCGGTCCTCGCCCCACCGCTGGACGGGGTCTGCCCACCAGGTTGACTTGGCGCCGTCATTCGTGTAGGGGATGAGGGAGAGGGCGTCGGCGCCGCTGCAGGCAGGGGGTGGGTGGGTGGGGGAGCGCAGGCGGGGGCAGGTGGTAGGGCAGGGTTTGGTGAGGGGGTGGCTACCCCAAGTATGGAAGGGGCCAGGTGGCGTGTGGAAGGTGCGGGGGAAGTTGCAGGGGCAGCCAGGGAGAAGCTGCGGGGAGCGGGGAGGGGGCGGTGCACGTGAGGCGCGGGCGGGGCGGGCGGCCACTCACTCGCACAGGTTGCCAGACAGGTAGCCTGCGGCAGGGAGGCGGCAGGGCAGGGGAACCGGTGAGGGCGGCCCTCCGGGGGTGGGCGCACGCAGCTGCGGCGAGCAAGCAGGGGGAGGGGCGGCGGCGGGGCACAAGCAGGAGCACAAGCATGCCTTCCGATCAGTCCGGGGCCCCCAAAGAGGCGACGACTCACCGCCTGCGGCCAGGCAGGGGCTCTTGCCCACAGCCAGCTGTATGTAGAACAGGCCGTGAGGGCCGGCTGCGGCGCCGCCTGCGGCGGGCGGGCGCGCGGCGGCGGCGGCGGGCGGTCAGGCCGGCTGGGGGCGGAGCGGGCTTGCGGAGGCGGGCGCAGGCAGGGGGGCTGCTTGGGCCCTGCGTGTTCGTCAGACGGGGCAGGGAGGGTGGATGTGCCTGGCAGGCAGAGGGCTGGCACACCCTGTGGCTGCCGGAACGGGCGGCAGCTGGCACTGCGAGGGTTACCGTCGCACGCACGCAGCCGTCGGTGCAGCGCGCAATGCACCCCCGGGAATCGCTATGTGGTGCAACTCACCTAGGGCGCACAGCAGCAGGGCCAGGGCGGGCAGGGCGGAGCCCCGCAGGGCTGGGGCGGGCGCCATGGGTGGGTATCACACCGGACAAGGCGCGACTGGGTCCAACACTGGAGGTGCCGTTCAAGATGAGAGATAGGAGCCCAGATGCGCTCAAGTAGAACAAAAGAGGGGGCGCTTCGCCACAGCTTCCGACTCCAGCGCACAGCCCGTGCAGTTTCCTTGGGCTTCGTGGGTTGGGCCTCAGAGCATCTGCTGGGATGTGCTGAAGCTGGGGCGCAGCTCCGTCCGGAGAGTGTGCCCGACGGCTGGCTGACAGCCCGCAGATGCCAGGTAGTACCCTGCTGCTGCCGTGCCCAGCCACGCCGCCAACCCCCCTCCCCTGCACCCTACAGGGCCATGGCCCCAAACAGGTGCCGAGCCGTCTTGGTGCCGCGAGCGGCAGCACTAGCAGGCAGAGAACTGCAGCGGAATGGAGGAGCAGGATAGGCGGCTGGTGACCAGCGGCAGCCGGCGGGACGCTCGCGAGCCGCCGTCCTCCGTGTTCGCTGGCCACACCCGTCCAGCCACCCGGTTTCCTTCCAGCGTGCCTCCGCAACTGCAAGCTGCAGTATGCATGTTGATCATGCTGATCCTGCAGGACCCCCAGGGTGAGACTTCCCCCTCCCGCCTCCCCTCATCAGCTGTGCGGCCGCGAGGCAGGAGCGATGGCAGGCAAATAATGGCCGGAGTGCAGGCGGTGGCTGGTAGAACGGCAGAATCACTGCCAGGCAGGCACCAGGGGAGGAATAACCCCACCGAACTCGTCGCAAGCTGCCCCGCCGCGCCGGCGGCGGCGTCACGCTGGGTGCGCTGGGATCGGCAAGCGCGCCAAAACTTGATTTGGCGGCGTTTCCAACATTTGCTCTCGCAGCAGCATCCAGAGGAGCCCTCCCGCGCGCTCAATGCTGGGCTGTTTAGCAGCCCTGTTGCGGCAGGGCGGCCATGCAGCAACAGCATGTGGGGCCCTGGGGCTGCTGCGGGGCACTGCTGCGTCGCAGATGCTTGAACAGAGCGGCAGGCAGCTGCTGCGCCGCGGCATGTCTTCGGTTGCCGCCCCCACCAATCCCGACTTGATTCGGAATTTCGCTATCATCGGTGCGCCCCTGCGGCTGTATGCAACCTATAGAACGAATGTTGCAGCTAGGACACGCCGCCGAGGCGGTTGGCGTTGGGCCGCCGCCGCCGCCACCGCCGCCGCCGCTCCTCCTTCTGCCGCTCTTCACACAGGGCCCCCTCTCATGTCCGTCCCTCTCTGGCCTGGCCTGCCTGCAGCCCACGTGGACCACGGCAAGACCACGCTGATGGACCGGCTGCTTACCTTCTGCGGTGCCACGCTCAGGTGTGTGTTGTCGGCACGTCGCCGCCGCCGCCCGCACACACACCACAGTCATTTGCCACCACCACCACCACCACCGCCGGCCGCTCGTGCGCCACAGTCGCACACCCAAAGCCTCCCCCACCCTACCCTCTCGCCCTCGCTGCAGCGAGGACCGGGTGATGGACAGCAACCAGTTTGAGCGGGAGCGGGGCATCACCATCGCTTCCAAGTACACATCCTTCCAGGTGGGAGGGAGGGCAGAGGGCGCGGGGTGGGTGGGCGCCCCGCTGGGTGTGCAGGGTATGGGGCTCCAGCTTACGCAGGCAGCGGCAGCGGGAGGGGGCCCGGCCCCGACGGCGCCTGGATGCTGGCCGGCCCTGTCCCACATGCCTGGCCGGTCCACCCCACCCCACTCCCGCCCGCAGTTCCAGGGGCACACCTTCAATGCGGTGGACACCCCCGGCCACGCCGACTTTGGCGGGGAGGTGGAGCGGTGAGGGGCGGCAGCGTGTGTGTGTGCGCACGCTTGTGTGCGTTTGCGCGTGCGTGTTCATGTGTATGTGTATGTGTGTGTGTGGCGCGGATGGTGGCGGCCGGCGGTTTGGGGTGCAGGCCTGCTGCCGGCTGCAAACCGCCAACCACACGCGCCCGCACACCGCACCCGCCCGCCCGCCCCGCAGTGTGCTGGGCATGGTGGATGGCGCGGTGCTGCTGGTGGATGCAAACGAGGGGCCCCTCAGCCAGACCAAGTTTGTCGTGGAGAAGGCGCTGCGGCGGGGGCTGCGGTGGGCTGGGAGCTCTGGCGGGGTACCCTGGGTTACGGGGCTGTGTCCTTCTTGGCTGCTGCCGTTGCGCGGTGGAGGCAGAGGCGGCAAGGGGCGAGCCTCGGGCAGGGGCTGCCAGGCGGTGGCGGCGGCGGCGTTTTTGTGTTGATCGAGGTCCAGCCGTGCGTCCCTTGGTGGTGCGCCCCAGCATGGCGGGCCCCCCATCGCCGACTCGGTTCACCTTAGTCACTCCCTTTGCTGCCCTCCTCCCCCTGCCTCCCACCCACCTGCCCCCCGCAGGCCCGTGGTGGTCCTCAACAAGGTCGACCGCCCCGGAGCCACGGAGCAGCGGTGCGGGGAGGTGGAGTCGTGTGAGCGCCTGCTGCCTGCTCCCCTGCCTGCCTGCCTCTGCTTGCCTGCCTGCCTGCTCGCCGGCATGCATGCCTGCATGCTTCGCTTGCGTACCCGCCTTCCTGCATACCTGCCCGTCCGCCTGCTGCATGCCGTGCTTGTGGGGGACGGTGCGCATGGTTTCGGCACTCCGATGGGAACCCCGAGCTGCCGCAGGCCCCGTTCCTCCGCTGCCTCTGCCCTTCCCAGGTCCCGCCCCTCCCTCCCTCGCTGCTGCTCTCAGCCTGCCGCCGCTCCTCTCCGGCCACCCACCCCCGTCGCCCTCCCTCGCCCCCGCCCCTCCTGCAGCCGTGTTTGATGTGTTTGCGCACCTGGGCGCTTGCAACGACCAGCTCGACTTTCCTGTGCTATATGCCTCGGCCAGGGAGGTGCGCCTGCTTGGGGTGTGGTGTGGTGTGGTGTGGCAGGGGGCAGCGCAGGGCGGGGTGGGTGGGTGGGAGGCACGCCTGCTCGGGGGGCCTGCGCGATGGGCCGGGTGGTGGCGGCACACGCAGCAGGTGGTCTGTCCCATACCGTCCCTCGCTTGTGGCACAGTGCCCGACTGTGGCGTGGCATGTCCAGCTGGCTGCACCAGCCTCTTGCCCCGCCTTCACCCCCCCCGCGCCTGCTGGTGCTCCGCAGGGCTGGGCCAGCCCCACGCTTCCGCCGGGCGGCCAGGCGCCCGCAGGCGCCTCCATGGCCCCGCTGCTGGAGGCGCTGCTAGCGCACGTGCCGCCGCCGCCGTCGGCCAACCTGCAGGGTGAGTGTGCTGTGCTCCTTGCCTCAGGTCGGCACCTGGCCGGCGGCTCATCGCCAGCAAGCCCCTGCGCCGCACCGTCCGGCGCCGCCGACCGTCCTGCTTGTACCGCCCTTGGTACCACCGCAGATCCCTTCAGCTTCCTGGTGGTCATGACCGAGCGGCATTCATTTTTAGGGAAGATCGTGACGGGGCGCGTGCACAGCGGCACCGTGGCACTGGGCGACCGCGTGAAGGTCCTGTGGCGTGATGGTGAGCGCAGAGGGCTGCAGCGCAGCGCGCTGTTTGCAGCCGTGGGTGCTGGCGACGGTGGTGCCTCTCTGCGTTGCTTCACACAAGCATGTTGTGGAGCAGCACGGCAGCGGCGGTTGCGAGGGTTTTGGGTATAGGGTGTGCTTGCTGCGGGCCAGAAGCGGTGCCCCTGCATTCCCCCCTGCATGGGTTGCCCCTCGGGACATAGGCATGTCATTGCTACCCGTTGCGCTCAACCCGCAGGCGGCCAGGACGAGGGCTTCAAGGTGACTCGCATCATGAAGCGCAGCGGCACGGGCACAGGTGGGGCACGCAGCGCGGGCGGCAGCGCTGGCGGGAGCGCTTGCAGCGTCTCACGCGTGCCACCCTGCTCGGCGCCTGGCTGGCTGCTGGCTGCTGGGCGCCAGCTGCCGCTGCAGCTGCAGGCTGTTCTGCCCGCTGTGCCTGCCGCCAGCCCAGCCTGCTTCACATCGCTGCTGGCACTCTGCTCCTACCGCTGCAGTGGAGCTAGAGGGGGCGGTGGCAGGAGACATCGTTTCTGTAGCCGGCGTGGCAGCGGCAGGCATTGCAGACACCATAGGGGCGCCCGAGCTGCAGCAGGCGCTGCCGCCAGGTGCGAGGGGTTGGGGTGTGGGCAGGTAGGGCGGGCCGGCCAGGCTGCTGCTGGCGCTGGCGCCACTCCTGCTGGCGGCATTGTGGACGTGCTGCTGGCGTGCTGCATTGCTGCTGCCCTTGCCGGCCTCTGCGCTGCCTGCACTCCATTCCCGTAGAGCTGTTGCGTGTGCTTTCGACGCGCGGCGTGTTGAGATATCGTGTTGACGCGGGACCTTGAATGTTTTGCCTTGCACACCACGCTCCCCCATGGGCCCCAGCACTCGCGTTGATGTGCGTGCCTGCCTGCCTGTGCCTGCCTGCCTGTGCCTGCCTGCCTGCCTGCCTGCAGGCCAGATCGACCCCCCCACCCTCAGCATGGTGTTCAGCCCCAACACCTCGCCGCTGGCGGGGCGCGAGGGCAGCCAGCTGACTGGGTCCAAGATCGGGGAGCGGCTGCAGGTGCGGGGCGGCGAGGAGACGCAGCCGCCGGCGGGCGCTAGGGAGTTGAGGCTGGATAGCAGGCCGCACTGGCGGGCAGGGTAATGCATCGGGGCTGCTGCTGCCGCCCACTGTTCGGCCGGCTGAAACCTATCTTGCCGGCCACCTGCACACACATACACACATTCCACACATGCCACCGACGTACCGCCACCCCACCCCCTCCACTACACTAACCCCGCAGGCCGAGGCGGAGACGAACGTTTCTCTGCGGGTGGTGCCCGTGGAGGGCAGCGGCGGGGAGAGCTTCGAGGTGCAGGCACGAGGAGAGCTGCAGCTGGGGCTGCTCATAGGTGCGCCAGACGGTCCAGACGGCGGCGTGTGTGTGTGTGTGTGTGTGTGTTGCGGCAGCTGGGAAGGCCCGCTGCGGGTGCGGCGTCGCTGGATGGTCTGCGCATGCCCCGCCTCCCGCCGCTGCTCTTCCACCTCCCAACCCCACACGCCCGCACCCACGTCCACACACACATGCAGAGAACATGCGGCGCGAAGGCTTCGAGCTGTCTGTGTCGCCGCCGCGGGTGGTGCTGCGGCACGAGGAGGGTGAGCGAGGAGGCACCCCCCTGGCTGCCTGGCTGGCCTGGTGATGCGGCCGGCTGCCGCAGTTCCTGCCCGACGGGGGTGCCTGCTGGGCTCCCGGCACACCCCACGCCTGCCCTGCTGCCCCCGACCCCAGAGGGGCACCCCGCCCACCACACACACACACACACACAGCACACACACTGCACCACCTCTTCTTGTTCTCGGACCCGGCGCCTCCCCACCACCACACCTTCCCTGTCCCCACGCCTCCCCGCCCCGCCCCTGCCGCAGGCCAGCGGCTGGAGCCTCTTGAGGAGGTGGTGTGCGAGGTGGAGGACGCGCATGCAGGGGAGGTGATAGAGGCTTTGACGCTTCGCAAGGGAGAGGTGAGGGGCGGTTGCCGAGCTGGGGTGCGTGGGTGTGGGTGTGGGTGGTGTGGGTTTAGGTTTGAATATGGTTGTGGGTGTGGGTGTGGGTGTGAGGGTAGGAGTGGGTGTAGGTGTGGGTGCTGTAGCTGGATATACGTCGGATGTCGATTGAGGCGGCGCTGCTGCCCCCTGTGCCCGCCTGGCATCCTGCCGCCGCCACACACCACACCACACCACACCACACCGCAGCTGCTGGAGATGCTGCCTTTGGAGCGGGAGGGCAAGCAGCGGCTGGCGTTTGAGGCGCCCTCCCGCGGCCTCATCGGCTTCCGCTCCGCCTTTGCCGCGATCACGCGCGGCACCGGCGCCCTGCACCGCGCCTTTGCACGGTGAGCATGCCTTTGAGAGGCGGATGGGTGGCTGGTGGCCAGATGGCTGTGTGGCTGGGTGGCTGGGTGGATAGGTTGACGGGTGGGTGGATTGGCAGGGCAGGTCAGGTCAGGTGGGGGCAAGGCGGAGGCGGCCGTGTGGGGTTGCCAGCTCAGCCCTGCTGCTGACTGCTCCGTTGGTTTCACCCCTGCCCATACTGCACCGCTGCCGTCACGCCATGCGCTGCGAGCCTCGCCCTCCCACGCCGCACCTCCTCGCCTCCCGTCCCCCGCCCTGCAGGTATGGTCCATACCGCGGCGGGCTGGACCGTGTGCGCAAGGGCGCCCTCATCTCCGTCGCAGGTGGGCGGGCTGGACTAGTGTTGGAGGGCAGCGTGCCGCCTTCCCTCCCCATCTAACCAATGCCTGCGCCGCATACGCCGCGCGGCCCCGCCCGCCAGCTGGGATACCAGGGGAGGGCACGGCGCCGGCAGGCCTCCCGCGCCTGGTGCCCGCCGGCCCAAACCCACGCCCCCGGCGCCCTCTCCCTCAGGGAGGCTCCCCACCGCACCCCGCATGTGCTGCCACTCCCTCTGCCGCCACCGCAGGCGGCCGCACCACAACGCATGCGCTGGGGGGGCTGGAGCCGCGGGGCGTGTTGTTTGTGGAGGCGACGGCAGAGGTGTACGAGGGCATGATTGTGGGGGAGCACAGCAGGTGGGGCACGGCGTGGGTGCCGTGCAGGCCTGCGCGTGGCTCGGGAGGGGGTGGGGGGGTGGGGGGGGGGTCTGCCATGGCATGTGTGTCGGTGCAGGTCCGCTGGTCTGCCCCACTCCACTGTTGACCCCTCGCGACCCGCCCCCACACAACAACACAAAAACATGAAACCACTGTGCATCCTCGCATCTGCCCCACCCTGCGGCCACCATTGAAGGCTTGGGCGTGCCCCCCGCTGCCCCTCACAACCCTTAACCCTACATACACGCAGGGACAGCGACCTGGAGGTGAACCCTGTGAGGGAGAAGAAGATGACTAATGTGCGCAACACGGGCAGCGAGGAGCGGGTGGTGCTGAGCCCGCCGCGCGCGCTGACGCTCGAGGACGCCATCGGGTGGGCGCCGGGGTGGCGGTGTGGATGATGGTGGTGGCAGTGGTAGTTGCGAGGGTGTGGGGGTAACGATGCGCAGTGTTTTTCTGTGGGTCCCGCCAGCCTGTGGTGGCTGAATGGCGGCGCGCCGTGAGTAGGCCATGGCGGGCGGTGCATGGGGTGTGATGCGGGTGTGGTGGGTGTGCGGGACCCCACACTCCCCGCCACCCTGGCTACCTGCAGCTACGTGGCGGCTGACGAGCTCATAGAGGTGACCCCCAGCCGCCTGCGCCTGCGCAAGCGCACGCTGGAGTCGGGCATGCGGCGGCAGCAGCGGCGCAAGGAGGAGGCGATGGCGGCGTAGCGCCGGCAGCATACACATGATACCGCGCCGACGGCGTCGCGGCCGGCGCGGTGGCAGTGGCACCAGTAGCAGCGGCAGGTGCAGCAGCACAGGGAAGAACGGCTTGTGACGCAGCGTCGGCGCAGCGGCAGCGATGGTTGCAGCAGCTGCAGCAGCAGGACGCTGGCAGCCGTGCAGCGGTGAAGTGTTGTCACCGGGTGACTACCCCCGACCATTTCCTTCCCCCAATATATTTTCTTGCCCTCTTTGTTCTGCCGGAGTCCCCACGGCAGCCTTGTGATGTCATCAGTCACATGCCAGATCGACACCAGGGTCAGTAGGTGGCAGCGGGGGCCAGGGCATGCCCGTCCTCCTCGGCCATAGCATACAGTCCCCCTGCCGCCGCCGTTGCGCCCGCCGCAAACTGCGGCCGCCGAGCGCCACCAAAGGCATACGAGGCGGCGCGGCGGGGCGCCGGCCGCCGCCGCTGCGGCTCCAGCGCCGACAGCAGCTGGGACCTGCGGCTGGGCCCACGGTGGGGGCAAGCGGCCTTGGGCACCGGCGCAGTGTCGCACAAGCGGCCCGCTGCTGCTGCTGCACCGTGCACCCGCCGGTACCCCACGCTCGCCACCAGTTCAGCCCGGTGCCGGAAGGCCGGGAGGGCCAAGGCTGCATTGCATGCCCCCTCTCTCACCTGATGCGCTCAGGGCAGGCCAGCAACGCCTTCCCTTGGGCCAGAGCGCCCATGAAGCTTGCCACTCGCCGGGTGTAGCCGCCGCTTTCCATCCTGCCGCCGCTCCTCCTCGGCGCCGCCACCAGCCCCTCCTCTGCCTCCTTCTCCTGCTCCCCCTCCTCCCCTGCCCCGCCGTCCACACCCTCCTCCTCAGCCTGCCGCTGCTGCTGCTGCTGCTGCTGCAGGCGCTGCCGGTGGCGGGCTGTGGTTGACCAGCGCAACGGGAAGGCCAGCACGCAGAGCGCGGAGCCCAGGATGGTCCCAGCCATGACCCACTCCTGCGGTACGGTGGTGTGCGGTACAAGTGAGGAACGGCACAGCGGCGCGGCACAGATGAAAGTGAAGCATGGATAAGGGCGGGGCGAACCGTGGTGGTGGTGTGACGCTGTTGGTGCTGGGTTAGCCGGCCCCGGCTGATCGCGAGCAGCACGGTGCGAGGCAGGCAGGGCCCAACCCGTCCCAGGGCAGGCGGGCAGCGGTCCATCCTGCTGCAGGTTGGTGGGCCGCCCCCCTCCCCCCCCCCTCCCCCCCCCCACCCTACCGCTCACCGATGCGTCGTAGTTTCTGGAGGCGGTGTGGAGGGCGCCGGCGATGTAGGGCCTGCACCAGGCGGCAGCAGCATCAGCAGCGGCGGCATGGTCAATCAGCATGGTCAGCAGCAGCGTGCCGCATGCCTCGCCGCCCCCCAACCGGCACATAGCACCAGGCAGCCTCCCCAATGAACCCGGCCTTCCTCACCCCACAAAGGCGCCGATGTTGGCCACCATGTTGACGAGGGGCAGGCCCAGCAGCCGCTCCTGCAACAACAGGAGAAGTAGAGAAGTATATAACACGGAGAGGGGAAAGGATCGGCCTTGACCAGCGGTGCAGCAGCCGCAGGCACACACTCATCCCTCCCTCCTCACCTCTGCCGTCATCAGGCTGGTGATCCAGGTGATGTCGGGGCCCTTCGCCCCCATGGAGCCCATGCCCGCCAGCGTCAGCACCACCATGGCGGCAGCCTGCAGATCGGATCGGTGTGCAGAAGTCGAGAAAGCGTGTGACGGGGAGTGTGCGATGCAGGCCGGTGTGCAGAGGTTGAACAGGGGTGGGACAGGGAGGGCTGGGAGGCCGGGTGCCGGAGGAAGGAGGGGCCGCTGCGGGCCGAGCGACCAGCAGCCACACTGTCACGACCGGGCCATCTCCCTCCTCCTGCCTGCAGGCAGTGGTGCCTCTCCGCCTCCCCACCACCACAAGCACACGTGCGCCCACACGCACACCTCCCTCCCCCTCCTCACACCCACCCACACTCTGCCCACCCTGTTGCTGGAGCCTGTGACTGCGGGCAGTGCCGCCATGAAGGCGCCGCCCACCACCCACGGCACGGCGATGTGGAACCGCCACTCCTCGGTGTACTGCAGGGAGCGGGAGCAGAGCAAGCGGAGGCATGCCGCGGCGGTCGATGATGAGGAGGCAAGGCAGCGGCACGACAACGCCGACGGCGATGCCACCCCCCTTCAGGAGGAAGGGCACATGGGGGCAGAGCGGGGAGCGGCGCGCTACCGGCACCGCCGCTGCCCAGCCAGGCAGGCACGCAGCGGCTCCAGCGGCAAGCGGTCCGTAATGTACTGCTGTACTTCCCGTTCGCCAGCCCGGCCCACCTGCGAGTGGAAAGCGTTGAGCAGGTGGAAGGCGGCGGCGGCGGCAAAGGGCACCGCACTCAGAAGGGTCACCTCTACCGTGGATGTGGTCTGCGTGTGTGGGGGGTGGGGGGTTGGGGATATGGGAGGGGAGGAGCAGCGCAAGGTGAAACAGGCCAGGCCAGCGCAAGAGCGGCAAGGGACAGCAGGCAGGGCAAACGCCCGGCGGGCAAACTGGGCCGCCGTGCCGCGCCCCCCGCCCCCCCCCGCCCGCCCGAATGCTGGCCCCAGCTTCGCCCCGTCCCCCTCACCTGGTTCAGCATGGTCTGTATTATGAGCGGTACAAAGTACTGCAGGCCGTTCGTCGCGATGCCGTGCAGCATGCGCCAGGTGCCGCCGCACCACGCCACGGGGCACCGCAGCGCCACACGCAGCGAGGCCCAGTCCTCACTGAGCTTGCGCCTGGGCTGGTGGTGCTGCTCCTCGCAACCCTCCTCCTCGCCTTCTCCTCCCGGCTGCTGCTGCTGGCCGTGCAGCTGAGAGGGCTGCTCTCCGCCGCCCGGCCTCGGAGCGAGCTCGAGCTGCCCAGGCCGCTCAGTGCTGCCATACAGGCCGCCTCCGAGAGATGCCTTGCTGCCGCTGCCGTTGCTGCCCCCCTGCTGCTCCTGATGAAGCTGCTGCTGCCTGGCAAACAGTCTGCTGGCCGCGACCTCGTCCAGCTGCCGTTGCCGCCGCATCTCGCCCCGCAGCGCCGCCTTTTCTTGCGGGGACAGGAAGCGAGTGGCGGCGATGCTGTCGGGCAGCAGGAACCTGTGGCCGGTGCAGAGGTGCGACATAGGGAGGTCTGCCAGTGGTCGTCCAAAGGGAAGGCAGCAGGGCGTGCCCCAAGGCTGTGTGACGCGTGCGGCAGCTGGCCATCCAGTAAGCCGAGCAACAGGAAGCAAGCGGCACAGCCCAGGTGGGTAGCCCAGCACACCAGATGGCGAAGCCCAGCGGCACCGAGAGGATGCCCTCGAGCAGGAACAGCCAGCGCCAGCCCGCCAGCCCGCCGGCGCCCTGCACGGCTCAGCAACGGCATGCGGCGGCAGGTTGGCGGCAGCTCGCTTGGTCGTGCATGCCCGTCGCGGCAGCGCCCACCCCCGCTGCAGCAGCAGAAGGCGGCAGGGGTGGCATGCCCACTGCCCAGGCGGGCAGCGGCCGCAGGCGGCACCAGTAGCAGCTGCAGCAGGCGCCGGCGGGCGGCCTTCAAACAACCCTAAACCCCATGCGAGCTGACTGCAAACTCACGTCCAGGGCAAGGAAGCCGACGGCCAGCGGGGCCCCGATCACCTGCACCCAGGCAGGCAGGCAGGCAGGCGGGCAGGCAGGCGGGGGGTCGGGCAGGCAGGCAGGCAGCCGGCCTGTAGGGCACACATGACAATGAACAAGGGCCGAATGCACGCAACGCATCCCCTCTCAACCGCCACACGTGTACACAGCCGCCGCAGCAGCCGCCACCACCAGCACCACCACCAGCACCACCACCGCCATAGGGCACCCACCTGCGCCACTGAGAGGCCGGCCATGACGATGGTCATGGGGACGGTGAGGCGGGCGCGCGGGTAGAAGAAGCTGACATAGCACCACATGCCAGGCATCGCGCCGGCCTGCAAAAGCCGCCGCGCAGTCCGTTGGGGTGGCATGGGGCAGGGCAGGCATGCGGCAGGCCACGCCAGGCCTCGACCTGGGCCGGGCGCAACCCATCTGGCACGGCTGCGGCTCCGGCCGTAACGCAGGGCGCAGCGTGCGCAGCGGGCGCGGAGGGCGTGCCTCGGCCACCCCCAGCAGCGTGCGCAGGGTGAGGAAGGCGGCGGTGGAGTTGATGGCGGCGAAGCAGGCGGCCACCAGGCCCCAGGCGACGCAGATGGAGGCCAGCCAGCGGCGGCCGCCCACACGGGACAGCGCCATGTTGGCCGGGATCTGCATGGTGGCATAGGTCGCGAAGAACAGGCCTGCGCCCAGGCCGTAGGTGGCGGTGGACAGCCCCAAGTCTTCGTTCATGGAGGCTGGAGGGGGAGGGGATGGCGGGCAGGCAGCGGGGAGGGTGAGGCAGCATGCCGTCGGCGGCAGCAGGGAGGCGTTTGGGGAGCACGGTGAGGGCGCCTGCCACGCCCGCTGCAAGCTTAGGGGGGTCGCGGCCTAGGGAGGAGGCTGCAGCACTGAGGCTGCGCCCACGGCGCAGGCAAAGCGGACACAGCGGAGGGCCGCACCGCTGGCAAAGCTCAGGTTGGCACGATCGATGTAGCCTGCGGGGAATCGGCACAGGCATGGGAAGAGTGACGCCCCTGTCAGAGAGGTGTCAAGCAGAATGCTCTGGATAGGCTTCCAGGCCTGTGGCAGCCTCGGTGCTGCACAGATTGCGGCGCTGTTTTTCGCTGATGCATCGCTAGGCTACCATCTATCATCTGCAAGAGCGCCAGCCCGGGAAGGGCCTCCAGCAGCGAAGCAGCATGCGATGGGCCCCCTACCTGTTGCGTGAAACTGCTGCCCAGCAGTTTCAAATGCACGCATAAGGCAACGCCCAGCAGTTTCAAATGTACGCATAAGGCAATGCGTACATCCGTTTTGGATGGTTGCCGGGCGGCTGGGGGGCGAAAATGGCTTCCCAGGCGATGTCTGCTGCGTGTGCTGCGCCCCAACCGCTGCCAGCGGCGAGCGGTTTTGAGGGGCCCCGCGCTTCCAACATGACACATTTACCCTACTGAAACAGTTTAGAAGGGCAGAAGCGCGAAGCATGCGCGTTTCCGGTGGTATCAAGCCTATCCAGAGCATTCTGCTTGACACCACTCGGTGAGGCGCTAACAGACAAGAGTTTGTGGGGCAGCTCACTGCCAGACGCGACTGGAACACCCGCTATGACTTTCCAAGGGAAGGGGGCACACGTGATCAAGGGGCATCGCAGGTGTTCAGACCACGTCCCACCTGCCCCTCCCTGCCTTGCCGGATACGAACCCACCACAACGTGATGGGGGACGTGGGGATCCTTAGCAGCATATGCTGCATAGGCCAAGGCCGATGGGCATCGATGCTGGTACACACACGTGGGCTCCCGGCGGCCTACATCCAACCCACCACGCTCACAGAACATGGACATGGTCGACATCAAGGGAAGGATGCGCCAGTTGAGCTTGCGCTCCGCCGACGCCAGGAGCTGCTCCAGAGGTGCTCCTACAGTTTTCGATGGCTGGGCAGCCTCGGCCCCGCCTTCCTGCTCCAGTTCCTTCATGCTGAGCCAAATATTTATGAAGCAGCGGGCTTGCCAGAAATGGTTAGGGCGATGGTACCGGAGCCCCCCTGATGCCATTTGGCATGCACCGCCGCCCCCGCCAAGTGGCGTCTCAGCGCAACAGACACAAGGGGTGTGGCGCCAGCACATCCACCTGCTCCATGTGATTGCTCCAGGAGGCGTGTCTATTCGCTCTCTCTTTCAAGACGGGCTCAGGGACACCTGAAAGGCCTCTGAGCCAATGGACATGCCCTCTGGGCCATCGCGCCAAAAGCCGGTCGTCGGCCCGTGTTTCGCTGTGCTGCTGCCCACTCAGCGGCTGCTGCATGTCGCATAGAGGCTGTTTCAGCGCCGCAGCATCGAGCGCTGCAGTGGCTGCTGGCGGCATAGGGCGGGAGGCGCCGCCGCCGCCTGCCAGCAAGCGTGCGCAGGGAGGATGGAATGTGCTTATGAGCAAGCAGTGTGGTGCGATTTGTTTTCCCCACACGTCCATAAAGTTGACAGGGACCTCTGGCCCGGCAGACACACAAGCTTGGACAGGGGTCCCAGCTGGTTGCCGCGAGCGGTGCGCCTGCGCCAGCGGCGGCGCTCCAAAAATGAGATGCTGGGGCTGTGTCTGGCGGCGTAGCTGCCCCTGCTTTCCTGCAGACGATGCCTGCTGCCAACGCAGTGGGATTTCAGGCCAGCCGGTCCCCGTTGCTCCATGGCGTGCGCCAGGAGGAATGGGTTGCGGCGCGGGGGCACGTGTGCAAGCATGGTGCCACCCCACCCAATATTGAGCACTGCAACCCTGACCATACAGTCACCCACGCCCGTCGTTGTGTTCCCAGGCAGTTCAGGCTGCCTCCTGCTCTGAGAAAGGGTTCCAATGCTGCCGCCGCGGCGGGCCGAACTCGCGTCTGAGCGGCGCCCGTGGCGCATGACCGTGCAAGCGTCAGACAACCCATTATTAGCGGCTGCAGGCCTTAAATAAACTGTTGCTGCTGTACCTAAGTGTCTCACAGTCTAACATTCTCACAAGGGCGGGCAGGAGAGGCTCCCCAGCTGGGCGCCGCGGTTGCCGCTCCTGCCCGCCTGGCGGCACCCAGAGGCTTCCGCCGCGCGGCGCTGGCCTTCCCCAATAGGGATATTAGTATTTGCGATTATTTCATAGGGGCGGGAGTGCTGACAAGCGAGAGAGGCGACCAGGGCCATCGCCATGGAGCTCGCTCAGCTGGCCCAAACAGCTCCTGATGGGTTGGATTTGGGCTTAGCCAAACTCAGGTGGAGTCCCATGCGGTATTTCACATCGCGCATGAGGATGCGCTGGCGCCACACCCCCCTGCCCTTGGGTTGCTGGCGCCGGCGACGCCTAGCCGCAGCTAGGGCCTGCCCGCGTCTGATGCATCCTGCCGGGAAGAGGATTTGCAGGGCCCTGCCGCGCGAGTGAAGGTGCCGAGATGCTGAGCGAGGACTGGAATGATGGAAGGCTGTGCCCCGGGCAGGGCCGCCACCAGCGAAGGGACACAAGGCCGCCGGCATGCTTGCTTGCCCCATCTGGTGATGCCCACGAACGCGGGGCCCCTGCAGACTGTCTTGTTCGCTCTCCCTCGCCCATCTCCTGTCCAAAGCAGCTGTGGATGGGGCCGCCGCCTGGCTGTGGCAGCAGGGGGCTGGCTGGTTTTGACCGAGGCGGGAGGAGGGTGCGGCGCTGCGCGCTGCCCTGCTGCAGCAAGGGCTGGCAGCGTGGCCGGGCATCCTAAACAGCACCGCACCTCTCTTCTACCTCTGCCTTGCTATTCTGGACCCGAGCAGCAGCCCTTCCACCACTGCCACACTCCCCCACGACCGTGCCGCCGACCGGGTACGCCCGGCGCTCCAGTGACCTCCCACGGCGGCAGGGGACCGAGGGCGCCCTGCCCTCCGCGTTTCTTGCCCCATGACGACCCTGTAATGAAGCAGGGAGGTGTTCACGGCGTTGTCCGTACATCGCCGCGGCCTCGGTCGGGCTGCCTGCGAAGCTGGGGTGGCTGATGAGCCTTGAGAGAAGGCCACCCTAGGAATCTCCCCCACGTGTATCTTCCCCATTATTCCCTTGCCTGCGCGTTGCCTGGCGCCTGCAGGCAACCCCTCGCCGTTTGGAGGGGGGGCGCGCAGGAGGTCAGCCCCGCCCCGCCCTGCTTCTGCCCGCCCGGTCCCATCCAGGAGGCAGGATGAACAGGATGCAGGAGCAGCGCAGCCAGAAGCCGCCCAAGGAGGCATACGATGTGAGTGTCAGCTGATGCCGATTGCCATCGCTCTCCCGGGCCCGCTCCCTGCCTCCCGACCCGCCCC